AGGACTCTTTGACTACCTCCTCTTCCAGCCCGAGATTTGAGGCCAGGGGGCACATTCTCCCTTCTGCCCATCGGCACTGCCAGGAACGGCTCTTGTGCTGCTGGCAACAGCGGTACCGAAAGCGCCAGCAACTCTCTGGCTGCACTAAACGCCTCCAGGGTGCACAGTACCGCGATTATACTGGTGCTGCACTGTCCCTCTGGCGCTGATGATGGGGATCGGACTCTACGGAGCCTACGTACAGGACGGAATCAATGGTACTGCCCGCGGAGCAGGGCGGAGGAGTGGCCAGACTCCACTGCACTCCCTGTGCCTGGCCTTCCTTAGAGTCTGGGAACGCCACCTCTTGGCCAGCTGCTTCTTCCGTTTCTTTCTCGGCACCAGTGAAGGGGAACAGCGCTGAGAGTCTCTCACAGTGGGAGGAGCACTCCACACCGACACGGAGGGACTTGGTGTTGAGTCCGACCGACTCGGCTCTGAAGAGGGTCAGAGCACCACCTCCATCAGGAGCAACTTCAACCTGGCCACCAGTATACACTTCTTTATACACTGCTTGAACGGACAGCAGATCTGACAGTGATCCCTGATATGAGTCTCACCCAAGCACTTTAGGCAACTGGAGAGTGGGTCACCCATAGGCCTGGCCTTGATGCAGAAGCTCAGGGCTTGAAGCCCAAAGACTGAGGCATGCCTCATGAGGTGCTGGGGACAGATGAAACTTCGCTAACACAGCAAGAAGCACCAACTAACTATGTATAACAAACTAACAATAGTCCAAGCAAGAAATAAACAACTGGGATAGAACGAAAACAGAGAAAATGGAGTAAAACAGAGACCACTGAGTACAGTCAAAACAAGAACAGTTCCAGCGACAGTCACGGGCGATAAGAAGGAAATGAGAGGATGTGGAGTCAGCCAGACCCCTTATACCGGTGCACGAGCGCGCGGCACCAGAGGGCGCTAGAGCCAACCTGACGGGTACCACTGAGGGGAAAATTTCCAGGACTGTGCTCACGGTGCACACACCTAATGTGGAATGGAACACGGACGACCAGAAGTGTACAGTGTTCCAGGTGAGGTCTTACCAGCGCCTCGTACAATGGCATTAATACTTCAATATCTCTGCTTGAAATGCCTTGTCTGCAGGGCTGGTGCAAGGAACTTTCGCGCCCTAGGTGAAACTTCCACCTTGTGCCCCCCCCCCCCCCCGGCCGCCCCCCCCCCCCCCCCAGCTCCTCCCCCCCGGGGAGCCGTGCGGCAGCTCCCCACCCCAGCTCACCTCTGCTCTGCCTCCTCCCCGAGCACGCCGCCCCTGCTCTTATTCTCCTCCCCTCCCAGGCTTGTGGCGCCAAACAGCTGATTGGCGCTGCAAGCCTGGGAGGTGGGAGAAGTGGATCGGCGACCGCGCACTCGGGAAGGGGGTGTAGGAACGATGTAAAAAAAAATTGGGGGCACCGCTTTTTGACGCCCCCAAATCTTGGCGCCCTAGGCAACCGCCTAGTTTGCCTAAATGGTAGCACCGGCCCTGCTTGTCTGATACAACCTAGGATCGCAGTTGCTTTTTTCACAGCCACATCACATTGGCAGCTCAGAGTCATCCTGTGATCGACCCACACACCCAGGTCTCCTCCTCCTCTGTCACTTCCAAAGGATGAGCCCCCCAGCCGGTAGCAGATATTTGTATTAGACCCTAAGTGGATGATCTTGCACGTTGTACTATTGAATTTCATTCCATTTCTGTCACTCCAGACTTCAAGATCATCCAGATGTTCCTGTATAATCTGCCCATCCTCCTCTGTATTGACAATACCTAGCTTTGTATCATTAGCAAATTTCATTGTCACAATCCTACTTTTTGTGCCGATATCATTACTAACAACATTGAATAATGGGTACCCAGACCAATCCTGGAGGAACTCCACTAGTAACCACCACAGTGCATAGGGGTGGGAACCTCCCAGGAAATGTATGCCTCCTTCTTGGGGTTTCTAAGTGCCGCTGACATTAGGATGAGTAGATTTTAAAAATGTACAGATCAAGTCCCTCTCAGGTAGACTAGGTGGGGGGGGCAGCAGCAGAGTGGGGGATGGCAGGGTATGGGGGCAAGGCACTGGTACGGGGTATGCAGGGCAGAGGGTTAGTGGGCGATCAGGGCAGAACATGGAGGGGGGATAGAAGGTTGGATTGGAAGAAGAGGAGCCACCTTCTTCCCTCTACCCTGTCCTAGCCAACACACCCCCATCAACTCTCCTATCTTTCAGACCGGATACTGGGATTCATTACAGAGGTGGGTGGGGGAGAATGACTATTTACTAGCTGCCCCTTTCCCAGGGTGCTGCCCCCCCCTCCGCCGCCCCCACACTCCCACCCAACCTACCTACTGTATTTATTATTTCTATTAGGGAGCGCCTAGGAACTCCAGCTGAGATTGTGGCCCCTGGGACCAGGCACTTCACAGGCTCTGCAATAAACAGGTCTTGCCCAGAAGAGCTTCCAGTGGTTATCCCCACTGTAGAGACCAGGAAATGAGACGTCTACCCATCCACCCTGCCTCCCCTGCCCGCCAGGAGGCAGAACCAGAATAAGGCGCTAAGGTGGGGAAGGGTCACGTTCAAGGCATCCTGTGGAATATAGTTTACTTTGGTGGCAAGGGCACCAGGTGAGACGTGGCCTCCCTGCAGAGAGTGGGGAGGTGCCAGGCAGGGCTCCCTCAGTTCTGGCCTGCTCCGGAGAAGGGATTTTGTTTCCACTTCTCAAGCACTGGTTCTCTTGCTGCACCTGGAACCAGGCTCCAGGCAAGTCCCTCCCTTTGAGTGCGTCTGGAAAACACCAGGGGCTGGATGTGGTCTCTCTGCTGGCTTTTGTTGCATTTTTGGAATGAAGGTGGCTGAAGGGGGGGGGGGAATACTGGGTAGTTTTTTCAGAAAACTGGAGGGTTTCCCCCCTAAATAGCAAATGTGAAACTCTCTATTCCCCCTGCAGCAAGAAGGCCAACTCCTAAGTGAGCACATGGCTGGGATCTGAAGCCTGTTCTGGTTCATAAACTGTCTCACTAGAAAATGCAGCCTGTAATTTGAGGAGAGGGCACTAGAGCTGGGAAGTTTTGCTCAATGAGCCCATTATCCAAGCCCCTTGAGAGCCCATGAAAGGTGTGTGTTGTTCCTGTAGTAGCTTGTGGACTCACTTGACCTCACAAGCCGCGATACAAAAGGTGAATATATGCCCTGTCCCCAGGCAGCAGCCCACCTCCAGCACAGGCCAGGGGCTAGGAAAGAGAGGGGCTTTTCCTTCCCGCAAAGAGCAGGTCTCGGCTCCTGCCCCACAAACCAACCTGCTGCTTGAACGTCTGGTTTGTTGGCAGTTCTTCTGCCCCCCTTCCCTCCTCCCTCTCCAGCCGCACGCTGAAAATGAGACCCTGCTTCAAATCCAGTGCTGTGGAGCAGTTGGGCTTGTGAAAACAATCTGCAGCGTCAGGGATACAATCAAATGGGAGGAAGTGGTGGCCTCTAAGCAGCTGTTTGGAGAGCGAGGCAGGGACTCTAGCAACTCCCTGGAGTTCCTGGGCCTTGCTAGAGGAGTCAGACGCTCTGGCAAGGCCGTTGGAGGGGAAACAGCGCCAACCCTCGGCGTGCCAGCCCCCGTGGGCTCCACCGCAGCTCGTCTAGTGACTAGGAGAGTCGGGACATTTCAAACCAAAATTAAAGTCTCCTTGATTCTCTGCTACTCCAGCCCATGGGCGATCTAACCCCAAGAGTGGGCCAGTGACCCCAGAGAGGAGACAGTCTCCTCCGCGCCAGGAGTCACCAATCGCCACGTACTGTACACTCATGGGCAGTAGAGGGCAGGGCAGGATGGGCTCCTCACCAGCTCTGGTGCCCTTTTTTTACACATGCACAATTGCTGTCCTTCCCACAGACAGCCTGTTGGGTAACATGGGCCTTGGCTCATCACGAGACACCCCAGCCCCCGACCAGCCCCCCACCCCCGCCGGGTGGGGTCAGACCCCCCCGCCCCCCAGTACCGCCCAAAAGGGGCTTTGGCCTGCAAAAAAAAAACCCACCCAGATGCTTCCATGGGGGGGGGGGGGGCTCGTGCAGAAATTCCACAGAATTGGAAAGTCCTCTTGTCTAGGAGGTTTGTTTGCAAGAGTTTAAATCTAAAGCAGATGGCGCCTCCTTTCCACTGGGTTTTAGGTTACACTTGGGCTGCGTGTTCTCCCTCGGAACCGCGAGGGTGTCCGAATCTCCCCAGAAATGCCAGCCCTGGGGCGCTCCGCGGGCTGGGGCGAGCGGCGCACGGGTGCCGGCGGGGTTCGGGCTTGGCCGGGGGAAGAGGGAGCTGCCGCATCCCGAGAACCGTAGCCCACGATGGGGTTAACCCTCCAGAAAGCGGCGCTCGCTGGAAGGAGGGAGGGGAAGCCAGAGGCATGCGGAGCTCTGAGCTGGCACTCCATGCAGGGATGCCGAGAAACGTGCGACTAAAGTTACAGGCTCGGCCAGCCCGAGCGTGGCAGTGGGGGCGATTCAGGTGACCACCCCCCCCCGCGCGGACCCAGGTGGTTCCGAGGGCAGCTGTGCACCGATGTAGGGGCGCACAGAGCCTGCCCGGCCAGGTGCCTGCGGGTCGGGCGGCCGGGGACCGTTAGCTAGAGCCTGCCCCGTCTCCGCATCCACAGGCGGGACCCCAGCCACCCAAAACCTCCTCCGGAGGGGCCGCCGATCCCCAGCGGCCAGTTACCGCCCCCCCCCCCACACCCGGAACGGGCTCCCCAGCAGCTGTTGCCGCTTTGCCCAGCACTGGGGATCGCCCCCAGCAGCCCCAATCCGGGGGGCCAGACCAGGGCCAGCGGGACGCTCGCCCCCAGCTGCCCCTCTCGGGGGGGGGGGGGGGGGGCCCGGGGCCCGCGGGCCCCTCGCCCCCAGCTGCCCCTCGGGGGGGGGGCCCCTCTCTCCGGGTTCCCGCGGCGGGGCAGGGGGCGGTGGGGCCGCGGCTGCTCCTACCCGGTGGCTCCGCACACGTTCCTCCCGCCGGGACGCAGCTCCTGGGCAGCTCCCCAGCTCAGCAGCAGCAGCAGCAGCAGCGCTCCAGCCCGCCCGGGCTGAGGCGGCCCCCGGAGCCCGGCGGCCGGGCCCCTGGGCGCCTCCATCGGCGTCTCCTTGGCTCGGGCGGCTGCGGCGCGCTCCGCTCTCCGGCCCGAGCGCGGCCGCCCTGGCTCCCCGGCGGCGCCTGCCTGCGGGGTCCCGGCCGGAAGCTGCAGTGCGAGCGCGGAGCTGCCCCGCCGCCGCCTCCTCCGCGCCCCTCTCGGCAGCAGCAGGAGGGCGCCCGGCCAGCCAGGAAATTCCACATTGGTTCCCCTGATCCCGGGCCAGGCTCTGGGGGACGCGGAGCCGCCGCCTCCTGCCCGCCCCGGGGCCTCCCCGCCCTGCGCCCGGCCGTCCCGCCACGGCCCTGTCCCCTTCCGAGCCCTTCTCCCCCTGGGGCTCGGGGGCAGAGCGCGGGGAGCGGCCGCCACCATCCCGGCCGGGCACCGCGGGCGTTTGTTATTGTAGGGTCGCTTGGGAGGAGCGGGGCTGCCCCTGGGTGCCGCGATTCCTAGCGAGCGGGCGAAGGGGGTCAGGGGGGCCACGGTCCGACCTCGCTGGTGTGCGGGGCTTGCCCGGTGACTTCCAGAATGACCCAGCCTCGCCGCAGCCGGAGCGAGGCACTTCGCAGCCCGTGTCCGAAGCGTGCTGGGGAGAGAGACAGGGAGGCTGCCGGTCCGTTGCTGCGGGGGGGAAGGCTCTCGCAGCAGCGGTGTGGGGAAGAGAGAGGGAGAGGAGCGGAGCGGAGGTGGCCTGCCAGTCCCGCAGCGGTGGGAAACCAAGGGCAGCCGGGACCCGAGAGTAATGGAGAGGTACAAGTTCAGGGGGGGGGGGGGGGGAAAGGGGGGTTTGTGGGGGAGATTAGGCTGGAGAACAGACTTGGGAGGTCACTGCCAGCCGCAGATCGAGGGAGGGGGGACTGTCCACATTAGCTGCATCTTTGTGAGAGACGATGAATCGCAGGAGAGCCAAGCCAGCGCTTTCCAGACGTCAAAGCCAAGCCATACAAAGAGGGACCGTGCCCTGGAAAGCAGACTCTCTGAACGTGACAAAGGGCAAACACACTCCTTGGATGTCTAAGCGGGGTCCACGCTTCAGAAAAGATGTTGAAAAGTTGGAAAGGGTTCCGAAAAGAGCCTCACGGGCTGGCAGACCTGGCTGGGGAGGGCAGGGAAGCGACTATTCTGATCATCTAGTCTGACCTCCTCTAAAACGCAGGCCACAGAACTTCCCCACAATAATTCCCAGAGCAGAGCTTTTAGAAAAAACAGCCCGTCTTGATTTAAAATAGTCAGCAAGGGAGAAGTCACCAAACCTTGATAAATTGTTCCAATGGTTAATTATTCTCACCTTTCAAAAGGTATGCCTTCTTTCCAGCCTGTGTCTAACTTCAACTTCCAACTACTGGATCATGTTATAACTTTCCCAGGTCCACTGCAGAGCCCACCGTTCAATGTTCGGTCCCTAGCTTCCTACTTACAGACTGTGATCCAGTCATCACTTAACGGTTCTCTTCCTTAAGCTAAATAGATGGAGCTGTCTGAGTCTCTCACTATACGTCATGTTTTCTACTCATTTAATCATTCTTGTGGCTCTTCTCTGAACCCCTCCAATGTATTAATAACCTTCTTAAAAGGTGGGCACCAGAACTGGGCACAGGATTCCAGCAGTGGTCACACCAGTGCCAAATACAGAGGTAAAGTAACCTCTCTACTCCTGCTGGCTCTGCTTAGTTTAGTCAAGAGAAGGTGACTTGGTCACGGTCTACCCGTACCTATGTAGGGAATACAGTTCTGATAGCAGAACGCTATTTAATCTAGCAGAAAAAGGCACAGTGAGATCCAATGGTTGGGAGCTGAAGCTCGAGAAATTCAGATTAGAAATAAGGGGCACGTTTTTCAGAGTGAGGGTCATTAACCATTGGCAATCCGTAAGGAAGTTGTTCCATTACCTGAACTGGAAGTCTTTCTAAAAGATCTGTCATAGTTCTGACAGAGCCTGATGCAGACATTATTGGGTGAAATGTTCTGGCCTGTGCTAAACCTATACAAGTTAGACTAGACAAGCATCATGATTCCTTCTGGCCTTCAGAGCAATGGATTTCATCTTCCCAAGGTGAACAAAAGGTGAGTTTTCAAGCACCTGTTCAAAGTTTAGGTTTAACAGGGGGGTTGACCAGCTAAAGTGCTAACAGAATAGTTTGCCTTGTCTGTGTTAGAATTTTAACACGTTAGCTAACACATGTTAAAACACACCTTTTCCCCTGGTCTGACATGGCCAACCAGACCCAGTGGTTTGAGCACTGGCCTGCTAAACCCAGGGTTGTGAGTTCAATCCTTGAGGGGACCATTTGGGGATTTAGTTGGGGATTGGTCCTGCTTTGAGCAGGGGGTTGGACCAGATGACCTCCTGAGGTCCCTTCCAACCCTGATATTCTATGATACTCACTGTGATGGTGCAGTAGTTTTTTGGGCAAGCAAGGGAAGAAAAAGAACATCCCCCCAGTAGCTGCAGTCACAGGCAGAGTAGTCAGTATTCTTATGACATTTGGATGCTTCAAAAGAATATTGGGTCATGCTGAGCTTGGTAGTCAGTGGAGACTTGGGTGGACATCCTGGCTGAACTGAACTCATATTGACTTCAGTGGGGCCAGATTTTATTCATGATGTTTGTCATTGGGTAAATATAGTATATAGTAGCTAAGTCATTTCCCAAGTTCACTGTAGTTGTATTTGTTGAAATAAATAGGCAGCAAAGTAAAGTTTTATTACAAGCTCCAAATTTGTTATTTAGCTGTGTGAGTAGAGCACAAATGGAAGAAGCAGGGACCGTCTGTAATGTGGCAGCCCAGACTTCAGAGAAGCAAACCCTGCTGGTGGTGGTGTCACTTGACAACATGGACATGGAAGGCTCTAGGCCAGCATCCCTTCCTATTTGTTTGGCTTTTGCAGAGTTCGTTGAATTCATCACCCTTTGGCTGCCAGTCTTGGAAGCATCACTTCACCTTTTCAGTCTGATCGTTGGCCGTGGCTGGCACGAACGTCCGTCTTGGTGCTCTGTAGTCCAGTGCTGACACTACCTCATGCAAAGGTGCCTCCAGAAATCCGAGTGAGATGGTAAATTCGATGTTGTAAAACATGATGCAGAATATTTGCATCTCCTGGAGCGTTTTGACCTTTGGCCTCCTCCGCAGTATCCAAACTCTGGGGATAACGGTGCTGGCATGCTGATCAACCCATCGACTGCCCGTGAATGTGGGGGCCTTCGACATGATGTTCCAGACAGATCACGTTTTGGCTGAACATTGTTCTTTTTGCAATTGTACTCCAACAGTTATGAATTGCAGGAGCCTCACGCGATTTACTAATAACTAATTTTAGCCACTGACTTGGGCATAGATGAAAATTGGGGCCTTACAGAAAACTGAGTGCCTGAGCTCCAGGAAAATCATCTGCTCTTTGCACTAGCTTCATCAAAGCCCAAACCCAAAAATCCATTGAGATCATCCGCTCCTAAAGTTTGCAGCTTGGGCAATATCTTCTCTGCTGTGTCTCTGCAAGGCATACCGTTGCTTTCTGTTAACTGCAACAAGTTCTCTCTGAGTATATGGTGGTGCAAGTATCTAAATCAAAATGATTAGACATTCCTTTATTCCCCACTGTCTTTTGTTTCATCTGCAGTCACACTCAGAAACTTTGAATTGTTGATTTGTTTCATATGGGTATCTGCTATTTCTTGACTAATGTACTCCATTGGCTGATTTTAACTCAGGAAGATGTTAAAGAGAAACTACTAAAGTTAGATACTCTTAAATCAGCAGGTCCAAATAACTTGCACCTAAGAGTTTTAAAGGAGCTGGCTGAGGTGTTCACTGGACTGTTAATGTTGATTTTCAATAACTCCTGGAGCACTGGGGAAATTCCAGAAGACTGGAAGAAAACTAATGTTGTGCCAATATTTAAAAAGCGTAAATGGGTTGACCTGGGTAACTCTAGGCCTGTCAGCTGATATCTATCCTGGGCAAAATAATGGAGCAAATGGTAAATTTGGTTGATAAAAGTAATAATGTTTATGTGATATACTTAGATTTCTGAAAGGCATTTGACTAGGTATTGCACAAGATTTTGATTAAAAAACTAGAATAACATGGGCACACATGGATTAAAAACTAACGGACAGGTCTCAGGGTGTAATTGTAAGTGGAGAATCATCATCAAGTGGGTGTATTTCTAGTGGGGTCTTTCAGGGTTCAGTTCCTGGCCCTACACTACTTAACATTTTTATCAATGACCTGGAAGAAAACATAAAATCACAATTGATAATGTTTGCAGATGACAGAACAAAGAATGTGGGCCATGCTTACTGAATGGGGGACTCTATCCTGGGAAGCCGTGAGTTTGAAAAGACTTGGGGGTTACGGTGGATAATTAGCTGAACACAAGGTCCCACTTTCCCAGCTGTGTCCGAAAGTGCTAATATGATCCTCGGTTGTATAAATGGGAATTTCAAGTAGGAGCAGAGAGATTATTTTACCTCTGTATTTGGCACTGGTGTGACCACTACTGGAGAACTGTGTCCAGTTCTGGTGCCCACAATTGAAGATGGAAGTTGACAAATTGGAGAGGGTTCAGAGAAGAGCCGTGAGAATGATCAAAGGATTAGAAAACCTGCCTCATATTGATAGATGCAAAGAGCTCAAACTATTTAGCTTAACAAAGACACGCTTAAGGCATGACTTGGGCATACCTAGAGTGCGCTTGAGTCCAGGGGTTCTCAGCCTTTTTCTTTCCGCCCCCCCCCACATGCTATAAAAACTCCATGGCCCACTGGGCTCAGGGCCCCACCCCCATGCGGAGGGGCTTCCGGTTTCTGCCCTGGGGATAGGCGCCGAAAAAAATTAGCCGGTTCTTAGCACCCACTGGCAGCCAGCTCCTCGCTTCCCCCCAGCGCCTCTCTCTCGCCGGCAGCCCCTCCTCCCTCCCAGCACCTCCCACCTGCCGCAATCAGCTGTTCCACGGCATGCAGGAGGTGCTGGGAGAGAGGGGGAGGAGCGAGGACAGGGCGTGTTTCGGGGAGGGGGCAGAAAGAGGCAGGGAAGAGGTGGGGCAGAGGTTGAGCGGGGGTGGGAAG